ATTTTCCACAGTAATCGTGTTTTTCTGGAAGCAAGTATGTTCGCTTGCATACACATATGTATGTATGTATGTGCCATGTGTATGTGTATTAGAGTGGTCCGAAAATACATCCGGGAAAAAAAGTTCAAAATGTTAAGTTCTCACCCACTACGATCTGTATAAATGAAAAAAAAGAATACCTATATTTAAAAAAAAAATATATATTTAGAACTGCCCAAAGCCCATGAAGTTGTCCATGTATTTTATATGGGGAAAACACTTTTTCGTTGAAATCGTATACAATTTTTGAAAATTAATATTTTTCGATCGGAAAACTTCGTTTTAGGAGACTTCCAATAACAATATCCAATTGTTCATTTAACCATTTTTTAATATTAACTGTTTTGGGTCTCCCAAAAACCCCAAAAAAGCAATGGGGGACACTTAGTATTAAAAAATGGTTAATTAAATAAGGGGTTTTATTAGTGGACGTCTCCTGAAGGGAAACAGAAAAATATTGATTTTCTACGAAAAAGTGTTTTTCCCCATATAAAATACATACACTGAAAACTACATGGGCTTTGAGGCCGTTCTAAATATCATTTATTTTTAACAAAAAAAAAGAGGGATATTTTTTTTTATTTAGAAAAACCCTGGGGCGAGCGCTTAAGTATTAAAACTCTTTTTTTTTTTGACCAACCTAATGTGCATACATATGTAAACGCATGTTTACAAAAACATGCGCGTTTACTTACGTACATACCTTCATATGTAGTATGTATGTATGTATATTGAATTTAGCGGTAAACAAAAGCCTGAGAAAATCGCATTTTTATTGACAAAGCTCAGTCGTAGGCTGGCTTCTCAAAAAGTAACCACAGAAAATTTACAAATTATTGACAACTTTCTAGTTTTGCCGGCATTACTGCACATTTAAATATTCCATCTTAAATAGTTTCCAAATACATACATACTTGGCGAATTCATGTGCAGTAAATGTTTTTTTTTTTTTCTTTCTTTATCGTCTATACCCGCCATTTTCGCATGTGTCCACCATTCCCATCCAGTCCCAAAAGCTGCTGCTTTACATTTGTTATTAAATTAAGGTTTTGTGTTCTGGTTACCAGCGTTAATTTTATTATTATTGTTAATATCGACGTCGGCGCCGCTGCTGACTTCTTGTTGTTGTTTTCTTTGCTATTGTTGTATTTACATACATATCCATACATGCATACACTAGGCGGCAAATGAAAGTGTACTTGTCTTGTTTTAATATAATATTCACAGTTATTTTCGTGAAACAGTTTTTGCATTAATTATTTATGAAAAGATAGTTCATTCTGTAATATAAATTATATACATATACAAATATTTTCTAGAGACTCTGCGTAAAAAGTTGAAATTTTGAATGAAAATTTTATTTAATTTTTGTGAACTTTATATAAAATGTGTAAAACAAAAAAATTTTTCATGGAAATAACTGTGAATATTATATATTACAGGCCCATTCTTTTGCAACCGAGCTACAAAAGAGCACTCGCTTAAACGACGAAGTACACGCAAAGCAACAACACAAACTCGGCAATTTATCACATGTTTCTTGCCAACTACCAGCAGGGTTGCTTAAGTAGCTAAAAGGAAACTTTACCCGAGTTGAGCGTTCTTTTGTCGCTCGCTTAGAAAAAAATGCAGCTATTATATACAAGGCGTAAACTCTCATTTGTCGCCTAGTGTATGTATGTACATATATATTTGCATACGACGGCTGCCGTTGCAGTGAGGTTAAAGGTGCCCATTTCCACCCGGTGTAAGTTAGGCTCGATCCTTGGCCCGAGCAACATTCAAGCAAAGTTCTCTCAAATTTTTCAATCAAATTTTAAATTAGAGCGCTCTTAAAACAAATTCTGAAATAGGGCGTTGTTGAGAAACTTTCTGAGATAGGGCGTTTTCGAACTGGCTGCCGAGATAAGTCGATCATCTACTCAGCCGGCGATATGTATGTACATTAGGGCGGGTCAATTTATTTTTTTACTATGCGCGTATAGCATA